CCCCATTAATAGTCTCCAATTCTTGAGCTAAAAGCGTGTGTTAGGAAAGACCCAAACGCATTTCTTAAATATGTCAGTCAATCAACATTTCAGTTATTTGTCCAAAGTGTCACTTACTTTGTCCATTATACGGAGTTCCTCCATAAAAACAAGCTACTGTCAGCTTCCTTGTGATGTCCTTGAAATCTTTGGCAACCTGATTTGCCAGCTCTCTTGTTGGACAAAGAACTAGAACCTACACGGAAGAAAGACAAGCAGATGTTCTCTCAGCATGGCTTCTGCCAAGAAACCACTAGACTTCTAATCATCCATTTAGACATGACCACTAACAAAATTAAAATGAAAAAATCTGGTTTAAATAGTCATCTAAGGAAAGGTTGGAGAAACACGCTGCTTGAGGCTCATGTAGCATCATTACACTTTCAAAACATACTCATTTGAGCTGGGATAACTTCTTTTTAAATGGGATAAGAGATACTTAAACCTTATTTAACTTTAGCTCCTGAACAGATCAGCTACAAGTCTCCCCCCGAAAGACCATCTGCTGTTTGAGTAGGAGACTGAGGGATCTGGGTAATACAAGGCTTTTCCACCTGCTCAGTAATGCCCCACAGTCCTGTGAGAAAGTGTAAGGAAGAGCCATCAGCTGTCCCTCAGCTTCCCTGAGACTCAGGGAATCATGATCAGCCTGCAGAGCTGTGTTCAGTGCTAAAACCCAGCCCTGCAGAAGCACCCAAGGAATCCTCCTCTCTCCAGTACACAGGATTCACTGCAGGCATGCAACTAATTCAGTGTAACAACCTGCTCTCAAAGATGGCATCAGTGGCTTCACAAAAGGAACCTTAAAATCCTTATCCTGGTATTTCTTTCAATATTCAAACCCATTACCAGTGCACTATGGTAGAGTGAGGCCTGAAACCTTTTTTAAGGCTCACTCAAAGCAAGCTTTCCTTTTTCCAAAGGACTGCCAAATCTAGGGACAGCATTTTCAGTCAGCCAGCCATGATTGGCAGGTGCATCTAAAACTGCTAGTACTACTTTTGCAATGCACTTCAGGCAATCTATGAGAAGGGTGACAAGATAAAATAAACTGACAGAAATTATTAATGAGGACACCATGAACCTTGGCCTGCCTAGTTTTGGAGGCATCCTAAGAGTTCAGAGAAAAACCGCATGTGGTTTTAAAACCACACTGGCAGAATGCACACAGATCATGACGAATCTGCATTCTCTGGAGCAGAAGCTTCAACATTTGGTGGTGGTCCTTGTGAAAATTAAGTCTGTTTTTAAAACCACCCACTATTTACATGTTTTTTTAAAAAAGCCTGTTTAAGTAGACAGCTTTCATCGAGCTGTCAAGTTACCATTAGTAACTAATCTATTCCTAATCTGGGAGAGAAACAAGCACCCAGTAACCCGTGGCCCTGTAGAGTGACTGAACAAAACTACAGAGGAACACGTGGCACACCTGTGATTTCGGTCTCCCTGTGGCAGAACAAGGAACTGACAAGTGGGTAGAGCTGTCATGCTCTGCACAGGGCACAGGCAAAGCCCAGCAAACACAGATTTCAAACAACCTTTAATGTGGGTTGGTTTATCCCTGAACAAACCTGAAGAACTTCCCCAGTGGGTTAAAATCTGAATCATTGGGACGCAGGACAAAGCAAAATGAGCATTCTACTCAGGCACAGTTACCTTGGGTGGACGGCCTCGTCTTCTTTCCTGGGACTCTCCCTGAAGCTTTTCAATTAAGGGAATGGCAAAAGAGAATGTTTTCCCCGTTCCAGTTCGTGCCTGAGCAATGACATCTTTGCCAGAATACACCGGGTTGAAAGTCTTCACTTGCACGGGAAACAGGTACGTCACTCCTCGAGCTGTGACAATTCCAAGAGATTTCCTTAATATGATCACTTTACAGGTGCTCTTTCATACTCTTCAGTAGAAGTTGTTCCAATCAGAATTTCCATCAACTCCACGCTAAATCAGGATTACATCATCACCTCCACTGATTTATTTATCACAGGAGTCCTCTGCAAAGGATTGCAAAGTCCTCTGCCCTGGGTCTGTCCATTTTATTCTCCTACTTCATATCACCACACACAGTACCAGCTGGGACAGATGAAATTATCAGCCTTTATGGGAGACTTTGAGTACTGTGCCTTTATTTTTGTAATACTCCCCAGCTATCTGTGAAAGTCTCTTCATTTCAAATAATACATATCTCAAAACCCCTTCTATTCTTAATTCATACTAAGTCACGTACAATCTAGCATCAAAGATACTAAATATAACTGGTTTTCCTTTATTCAAACCAAAATGACCTCCAGTTGAAAAATTCTCACACATCACTAAGATTTTTTTTTCCTTAGCTTATGGCATTTAGAATTCTACTGTAAAGGCTGAGCTGGGCAACACTGCAAACAGGAAAGTCTGTGTTCCACCTCAGAGCTCACTGATCCAGTACACTGGGCACAAAAACACATGACAGAGATCACTGAGGGTTGTTTTTTTTTTTACCTTGAAGAAGCTGGACAGTTTCTTTGGAAATAGAAAAATTGGAGAAAGCTCCCTCTTTCTGTTCACCAGTCAGCTCCTGTTGGGTAAAGAATAATTTGGGTAAGATTCCACATGAATATCATGTGGCTGTCAGTAAATCAAAGGTAGCAGCACAGCCACTGGTGTCACACACTTCAGTGACAGCAGCACAGCTAAAGGGTCTTCTTTGGTTTACCCTCATATCTTGAAGCTGGACAAAGTTAGCAAGTGATCTGTAAGTGAAGACTTTCATTTCAGCATAGCAAATGCAAAACACCCAAACCAAAACTGAAAACTCTGAATCAGAATGGCAGAATATCCGTAGTTGGAAGGCACCCACAAGGATCACCTAGTGCAACTCCTGGCTCTGCACAGGACACTCCAACACTCATACTTAACGATGCTGAATCACATCAAAGCTCCATCTCACTGCAACCTGTCTGTCTACTGTAAGCTGACAGGCTGCTGAAGTGAGGAAACACTGGTGCACTGATCTGGAACTTCAGGACATTCTTAACTCAAAATTTTTGCACATAATCAACAGAATGGACAATTCAAGAAGCTTCAAACCCTGAAAATTTACAGCACTTTCCACTGATTGGGAGGGGGGGGACATAACCCATTTTAAAGTTGGCCTTGCTGCAAGACAGAAGCTGAAAGCTGCACACACCACTGAACTAAACCCAATCGCTGGCTTTACCTGCTCCTGCTCACTCTCGCTCTCGCTGTCACTTGAGGTCTCACTAGAACTGCTCTGCCGGCTCCTGCGGGAGGATTTGCTGCTGTTTAAGGAAGGCAATTTCGGTTTCTCCAGGCTTTCTTCTCTCGCGTGACCGTTCTGTTTACTGACACCCTTCGACTTCTTGACTTTGGGGGTATAAACCTCCTCATCCGATTCCTCGCTTTCATCAGTCGGAGCCTTCCCCCTCTGAAACTTGTCCCGGCGTTTAGACTTCTTCTCTTTCTTCTCCTTCTGGCAAGGCACAGAGCAAATGGAAACACATGCTCGTGGATCCAGGGACAGGGAACAGGGAGGAGGGCGCGGAACAGTTAAACCTCGCAGCGCACGTTCTGGTTACTGCCGGGGGGAACAGGTACAGGGCAGCAGCCCCGAGCAGGGCCGCGTTCCCCCCACGAGGCCTCCGCGCTCGGGGCTCCCGCCGGGCCCAGCACGTGCGGCGGGGCCGCGGCCTGGCCCGCCGGCGCACGTGGCCGCCCGGCCCCGGCCCGGCCTCGGCCCCGGCCCCGCCGCGTCCCCCGCGCCCGGCCCACGGTACAGGCGGCGCGGGCGGCCCGGCCCGAGGCCAGGCCCGCCGGGCACCGGCCCCAGCGCGCGGGCGCGGCCGGGCCGCTCCCGGAGCCCTTCCCGGTACCTTGTGGCGCCGGCGGCCGCTCTCCAGGGCCGCCTCGGTGTCCATGGAGCAGTCGGAGCCCGACTCGGCCCCGCTGCCGCTGCCGCACCGCGTGGCCTCGGGCATCGCCGCGCTCCGCCACGCCGCGCTCCGCACCCGCCGCGCCGCACGCTCCGAGCGGCCGCCGCGCCCACGGCCAATCGCCGACCGATCCGGCGGCGCGGAGGCGGGGCCTCGCCGCCCGACAGCCAATCGCCCGCCGCCTCCGCCGCGGGACCACAACTCCCGGCGTGCCCCGGGGGCCAACGGGCGGACTCCAACCCCCGGCGGCCCCCGCGCGCCCTGAGGGCGCGGCCGCCATGACGGGCCGCCATGAGGGCCCAGCCCGGCCCCTCCCCGGCCCCAGCGCCGTCACCGCCCGACGAGAGCCCGCCCGCAGCCACAGCTCCGGCAGCGGTACAGCCCCGTGACTTTCGGTCTCCGTAACTACCGCAGGCACGTGTTCGGGAGCGGAAAGCCTAGCGTAGGGAACGGCAGAATCACCAAATGCCTCTAAGACTTAAAAGGACCACACGCCTGTGGTGATCAGCAACATGAGCCCAGCACGGTCTGGTCGTACCTACAGGGAAAAATCGAGTTTAAGAAATCAAAATGAGTCTTACGAAGCTGTGGAGGGATCCTGCCGGCCGCCAGGGTGTCGATTCCTTAAGGAAAGAGGGTTTCAGGAGCAGAGCGGGGCTTCTCCCAAAGCAATGCCACTGATGTGTCCTACAGCATATGCCCTGTTGTGTCCTGCACCGGCACGTTTTCATTTCCAAAGACCAAATCCTGCTCACCAGATACAAACACACCAAGTAGACCGAGGAGCACAGCTGAGAGCTCTGCAGGATGCAGTGACAGAACCCTGGGATTGCAGGAATTTTTGTAGTAACCAGGTGCGTGTCTAGACTGTTTGCTTTGCTTCCCGACAGGGATCAAGATGCAGTGTGCTCTCATTCCTGCACCACAGGTAGGAAACCCTTTCCAGAATTATAGAGTAAAACAGCCCTGTCCAGCTCCAGTTCCTATCAGAGCAACACAAACCCTTTCCAGGTCAGTGGTGTGGTCTGAATGAAGGATACCAGTTCTCATTTTTATTATCACAGGGGCACAGAATAATTAAAGATGAGTGCAAGCAAAATACACATGAGCTCTCCAAATACTACGGTCAAAACTCTGAACTAACAGCTTTGATTTAGAGACTGACGTGACTGACTGCATTTACAAGACAGTTACCTTGTTACAAAGGGAAACTTTACAAAGCTCATTAAAAAAGAAGCAAGTATTCATGACCAGAGTTAGATGTAGTGAGGAATTTTGTTGCAATTGTCCTTCTGCTTGTCCTCCTCTTCACCTTATTATTTATGCTTTTAAGATTCGTCAGGAACCTTCATCTTCTTTTCGGTCAATCTAAAATAATAGAATTATTAGAGGTCAGACTTCACATTCCAGGAAGTGAGTTGGCCTACCACGGATGGCATCAGTACAAACAGCCAAAATGACCCTCTGAAATATAGTTTGCCAAAGATTTCAAGTTTTACTCATGCATTACTCGTGTCCAAGTAACACACCAGGAGTGTGTTTGAAGGAGTGCGCAGCCAAAAGCTGCTTGAGGGAAAATTTTAAAAATCAGCAGAATTTCCTTAGAAACTGTAGTATGTGATTTGTTCCTTCAAATACTGGCTTCTTGAGGTGACAGTGCATATCTAATGAAGACTCAAATGGTTTAAATAAATACCAGTCATTAAAGATATTAAGAATAGGTGTTGCTATTAAAATATATACGTTATTTTTGCCCTCATCATGTTCTAGCCAATTTAGTTAACAGTTTTGTAGGCCTTCTCCGTGTACAACTCTGTAAAAAATTGTTTCATACCAGCTTGCTTTCCATTAAGGGATTTCTCAAGCACAGTTACAGGCAAAATGTACACTGAAAGGAAGCCAAAACTTGTAGGTCAGGCAGTGTACACGTTCTTCTGTCAACTGTGAGCAAGTCAGGTGGCGTTTTCTATTTTAACTTCAGATTAGACACCTTTATACAGCACCTTTTATTCCTCTCTACAGCTGCAGAAACTGTAACAGTATCTGTAATGTCATATGGCAACAGCTATGAGAGCTGAACCTGCCTTCTGGCAGGAGTTAATCAAACACTGTGTTTAATACCAGGTTTATCAAACACTGTTTCTTAACGTCTTTGTTCCCGACCATCTCCACCTGCAAGGCAGAGCTCGTGCTGTTTGCTTGCCTTGTGCCAAGTATAAACAGCAGCATTTGTCTAACTGATTTAGGGAGAACATTCATGTAAAAAACGATACAGTTTGAGTATTTCTGGGTCATAAACACTGAAGTTTTGAAGGATAATCAGAATTTTGTTTTTGTGGAAGGAGGGGGTATGATTTACGGCAACATTTCTGCCTGAATCTGATGGTCAATCTGAACGTAAAACAAACTTAGTTACATGTGTTTTCTTACCCTGGGGAGTCAATTCCACTGTCTCCTGATAGAAAGCTGGGGCTTTCTGTCCCTTCTGAGTGTTTCTGCCCTGAGATCACAGAACATGTGTTCTTAAAAACCAACTCTTTTTTTCCTCCTCCTCCTCCTCCTCCAACCTCCTCAGGGGGGAAGTTGTGCCCGGTGTCATTGTCTGAGTGAGCCTGGGCAGCGAGGTGGGAACCTGCCACAGGGAGGCCCATTCCTTCAGCCTCTCTGTGACCTCTCGGAAGAACCTGGCTGCACAACCAGCTTTCTTCTGCAGAATCTGGTTTGGGGTGCTCTTTTAAGCCATCTGTTGACTCTGCAAAGCTACCACTTCCCTTACATCCCTGTTCTCCAGAGTCACACGTGGTTACAGTTGTGTTGCACTGGGCGGGACAGTTACTGACCTCACAGGGTTTTAGGGACACAGCTGCATTCCAGTCTCTTGTGTCTGAAAAGGCATGGCCAGGAGGCAGGGGGTGACATGGCTCACAGCCCTCAGAACTGTCACCCAACTGATTACAGGTGTCCCCATCGTGTCCTTTTTGGTTCTGAAGGCGGCAGTTGTCAGTAAATCCCTCTCTTTCCAGCTCCATTGGCCCGTGATGGCTGGCACAGTCATAGTTAAATATGAGCTCACTCTTTTTATCAGTCTTTTGTCTGCATTTCACACCATTTTTTCGGACCAGGTTAACATTGGCTGTATAATTTGAAAGATGGACATTTTGAAATTCATTTGCTGTTCGATCTAATAACTCACCTACAGTGTCAGCTTTTCCTCTGCAATGCTCATCTTTCAGACAGAATGAAAGCTTTGCATCTTCTTTGCACACACCACTATGTTCAGTGTAGAAGCAAGTGGACTTCTTAATATCCCCAGGACTTCTTTTTAATGTTCTTCCATAGGAGTTTTCTTCAGAAATATTACTCTCCAGAAAGTGTTTACTTTTATTGTCTATTTGCAGATTACTGCCTTGCAGACAGCTACAGTTTTCTCTTAAGCTGTCTTTCTGGAGCTGGAGGCAGGACCTGTGAGCATGGGGTGGGTTTTGCTTGGCTCTGTCAGCCAGCTGTTGGGTTTTGTATCCAGGGGGTCTCCAGGAGGCTGAGGGCTGTGTCCTGTGTGAAGCCCTTCCTTGCTCCCTTGCCTGGCTCTTCAGGTGCCTGTTGATGACACCTCGGTACCCCTGAGCGTAGAAGCTGCGTCTCCACGGCAGAGCCTGGAAAGGATTTGTAATCTGCTTCTTATAGAACACAGGGGACTGCACTGCTACAGCAGGGGGCTCTTGGTTTCTGGCAGACAGTGAAAGGCTCTCTTCCACTTGCACATGTTGGGGTGTCAGCTCCTGTACAGGAGATTTCCTGCTGCTTCTGCCGATCTGCTTCTCTTTCTTTGATTTGGTTTTCCTGGTGCGTTTTGCTGGTTTACTCCGTGCCTTTTGAATACAATCCTTTGAAAGATGGTTTTGCCTGACTGCTGACACTTCAGCTGAGGTACCATTACTGATGTATTTTTTCTCTTTACTGATGAATTTTTTCTGCTCCTCGAGTTTCTGCATTAATATGGTGTGTTTAATCAAGTTATCAACGGTAAGAGTAGGGTTAATACGCTTGATGATTTCGTGTTCAATGTCACGTGGAATATTGTCCAAGTCATCTTCATCCCTGACTGGCCACTCCCTGGGAGGAAACTGGGCTGAAAAAGTGGAGTACTCCTTCTTGTGTTTTTCTTTTTTAGAAAAACTTCTCCAGAAAAGGCCAAGGCCAAACCTTTTGCTTTTCAGCTTTGCCTTCATGGACGTCAGGGATTTGATGGTGTCCCAGACATGATTTTCAGCAGATGTGCAGATCCCTTGAGTTTCAATTGAAGGCTTCAATTCCCTGCAGTCTTTCTTTCCCTTTCCCTTAGGTTCATGATTCACTAGCTGCCAATGCCTTTGTTCACAGAGCATATTTTGGACAGAGAAACAATGGCAGGATCTGTAACAGGATACTGTAGGAACGTTTTCTTTCACTAGGTTTGCACAGTGCTTAATGTTTACCAGGTAGGTGATGGAAGGTGCTGAACAGCAACAACTGTCCTCCAGCAGGACCCTTCTGTTTTCTTCTGTGGCCTTATTAGTGATCAAGTACGTGTTGGGAGTCACAATGAAGTATCCTTCTCCACTATGATAGATCTTCCTTTCCTTAATTAGAGTGCCAAGGATATTATATAAGGTACTGTGGGAGGGAACTGCAATGCCTACAACGAAGAGACAGATATTTCAAATCAGAAATAAGCTTTCAAAGAAAACGGGTGCTGGCCAAAAAAAAGAACTTAGAATACAACAGAGCTGGAAGGAACTGAACATGGAACACCTAAAGCCTTTAGGTAAAGTCACAGCTGATCTCCTGCCACAGGAATGAAAACTTCCAGCAAGGTGAAAACATAGCAAAAAATACATTCAGTCCCTACAAACTTTGAGAGTGCTGGGTGACCTAAAAATGAACACTACCCTGTGCTTGTCTGAGTGCACATGTGGACTACATCATCTTCCTGGCAGGGGTCTGGGCTAATTTGTGAGGTTGCCCTGACACTTTTCCCACTGGTGAGAATGCCTAGGAGATCAGCCTGTAATATTTACAGAGTTGTGAGGTTAAGTGGACTCAAAAGAAGCAGCTCAGTACCTAACAAAGCAGCCTCCTGAGAGGGCCACACTGAGCCTTTACAAAGTCCCACACGCAATAACACTTCAGTATTGCAGACCTAAGGGAAATTCAACATTTTTCAGATATAAAGAAAATTTAGTATTTAAGGGAAGTGGGTGCTACCCCATCAGAAGAAAGGGACTAAAGCTCATATAGTGGAAGTAATTTGCTTTCAGGAAGGAAGGGGCTGGAATTTGACCAACAAACCCAAATTCGAGGTTTTATATTTTTTGATAGCAAACACCTGCCCTTTGCAGTCAAAGTCAGCTGTGTTCCTGTCTCCTGAAGGAGGACTTGGAGCTCTGGGATCTGACACACAGTCTAAATACCACTTCTATGCTTTCCCACCCTCTAGAAAAGGCATACTCTCAACATGTTACTGCATTAAATCCCCTCTTATTCTCAAAGATTTATTAAATAGAGGGGAAAGGATCACATTCAAGACAATGTTGGTGACACTCAGAGACTGAGGAGTTTTCCCATTCCTGTATTCTATCAGTTGCCTATTCATTTACATTCCTTCCTCTTGCCAGCTTTGCTTGTAAACATTCAATGATCCCTTGTCCAATATCAGAAACTCAAGCTTGATGATACAGCCATTTTTAAAAGGAGGGAGAAACCAACACATTACCTGGATAATTTTTCTCTAAGTGCTGCGCTAAAGTTTCCTGTGTCACCATCACATGATCTGCATTCATGTCCGATATGGTACAGCATATTCCTTCTGCCAGAGAAAGGGAGCATGACTGCAAGAGAGGATTCATGGGGACAGGAGTCACATCACCTGAAAGAGAAAAAAATTGTTTGAATGGAACAGTGTTCCATTTTTTCTATCAGCTGTGACAGACTTTCACTGGAAATTTCTTGTGTTGTGTCAAAACACCTTATCCTCAGCTGGTTTTGTTCAGCAAGCTACTTGGCAATATTTCTCAGAGAAGGAAAGTGGTGGTAGCATTTTTAAGAGCCTTTGTAATGAAGGAAACAGAAGGTTGCCTTAAGCACATTGGTTTGTTTGGTATTAAATTCCAGTCAAAACCATCATTAACAAACAGGGAGATGAGAGAGGATTATTTCTGATGACTTTTAGATAACTGCTTACATGTTGAACCATGCAGAACCTGTATTTCTCCAAGTAGCTCAAATCTTCGTTGGGGAAACCTAGCCACAAATCCGATATTTATCCTTCGGGCAGAAAACTACAACACAAACATTCCTCTGAGTAAATAAAAACACAACAGCATTTTGAGGAGCTTAAACTGCTCTCGGCCTTTGTTTTACGGCTGCTGCTGTATTCAACAAAAAGCACTAGGGACAAGAATCCTGGCATACAGTTTCCTCCGGGATGTTGCTAGGAAACTCCCTGAAGGTGCAGAAACCATTGCAAGCTCTCCTTTTGTATGGGAAAGGCCATCAGCAATCAGGAATGACTCCTGTGAATGGTTTGCTGTCTGAAGTCTCTGCTGTAGGCACACCCTGCTGCCAGTTTGTTCCTGCAGAGCACCAGATTGCTGAGGAGTAAAATGTCAAGTGTAACCAAAACATATTCATTATCTTTATTATTATTATTATTATTATTATCTTGCTGTCATTGTCTGTATCTTGCAAGCTCAAATCCAATGTCTCCATTCAGGAAAGGACATTTCAGAATAATATTTAAAGCATTAAGCAAAAGCCAGCTTGATGACTGAAGGAAGAAAAAACAAATCTAAAAATCACACAAATCTAAAATTATTATTGCTGATCAATATTGCACACCTGCTAACAACACGAATATTAGATATCACCCCCTCCTGACTTTGAAATCAAATCTGAAATAGTGAAAGCAAGAATTAGATCACTGGCAACATGGATAAGCAGTGTTGGGAAAGGCCCAGCAGCACCCTAGAAGTGTCTATCAAGTTCTGATTAAAAGCTGGTGTGTACTGTCCAGAGCTAAATAACCATTATTGCACCTCAAATGTTCTCCCAAGTCTGTTGGAAATACATAAAAGCTGCATCCCTTAGGTTTGCTCCCTGAGCAGTCTAAAGGACTTGTCCAAGCTGTGTCTCATAGGCCTGATGGGCCATCACCAGAGTACCAGGCTCATTGAATCTCCTTCAGATCTGTCCTTTTGCAGCTCAGAAAGGCCCTGCAGAATCCCCTGCCCCACACAAATCACCTGATGACAACGATCTTTCTGCTTTCTCCATAGCCTTAGGAAGGCCTTGCTTACACTTGTGTGTTCGAGGGACCTGTCAGCAGCCCAGGACCTGCTTTAAACCTGTTTAAAACTGTCAGGGTTTAAATCCACCACCATTCCCTGTCAGCTCCCAGCTCCTGCAGGATCCATTCACCAAGGCCAGTCAGGTGTTGTTATCCTTCAGTTTGCTCTGCCTGTCTATTCAAACTCTGCTCATTACCCGGAGACCTAAAACCCAACAATGCCCTTTTATCAGTCACAGTCATCTGTAATGTGAGCATTGGGTAACAAAGCTCAAGCATAGAAAAGCCTCTGGGTATTCCTGACTAGCAAAAAGTGATTTTTTGTTCCATCTCTGTAATGTGAGTTTTCACTGAGTTGTTAAACAATTGCAGAACTTTTGCGTCTTCTGTCTCTTAAAAAAGTTACATACAAGACAAGTTTTATCTGAGTGAAAACCAGGACAGATCTGGGGAAATGAACAGAGAGGCATTTATTACAACAGCACTCAATTTACTTCTTGAAAGTTCAGGTAAACTGTTTACAGGAAAATAAAGGGCTAGGAGTAAATCCATTCCAGGAAAAAAACCCAAATGCAAATCAAGGAAAAAACCATCTATTGAGGCAGAGAAGACACAGCACATGGAAACAGAGGGTTGTTTTTTCTATACTGTAGCTGGAAAAATCTATCATCTTGGAATTGATTATACAGATGATGCCACAGTTCCTGTGCCTCTCTGCATGAGAGCCCTGGCATGTTTGATGTCACTCACTTTTTGCAGAATTGCACCAGGAAAATTGTAAGCAAGCCCAGCTCTGCTACAACTGAAAGGCTTCTGCTTTTCTAAAGAATAGATCATGTCATGGTCACATTTTGTAGCCAAAATCACACGTTAAAGAGTTTTAAGGAATAAAAAGTTAGTAAGAACATCATAGAAAGCTGGGAACTGTAGCAAAACCCTTTTCAAACATAAATGAGGATTTTACAAGATGTGTCCTTATTAAAGAATAGAATTTCTATGTAAATTACAAAGACAGTTAAGATTAAAACATTTTCAATTGTAAATTTATAACAGAGAAGCTATTTTGGCACAAATGCTGTGTACTAGATCCTGTTTTTCAGAAACATCCTTTTACTGAAGCAGAGAGTAAACAGTTCAATTGCATGGGAACTGTCAAATCTTGTACCACGTTTAATCTGTTACTGACACCAACAAAAGCTCTCAGGAACAGGCAAACAATATCTGTTGTTCAGTTATTTTGTACAACTCTCGAAGAGAGAAACAAAACAATTCAGTGTCATTTAAGGTCACCAACACTTCTCCAGCTGACATCAAAGGAGAACCTACAAATGCATAAAAATGTCACATTTCTGTCCCTGCTGATTCCTGCAAGAACAGACACTCCCAAATCAGCACAGTTAGGCAAACAATACCCTCCATTTGCTCTCGGTTCCTGGTTCCTACAGTTCCCAACTTTCTGTGATGTCCTTATTAACTTTCTATTCCTTAAAACTTAGGGGATGATGCCAGGCAACTTGATAAAAAAATAAACCCAAACAAACAAAAAACAATTACTTTTTCTGCCTTCCCAACAACACCCAAAAGTCTAGTCCCAACTGCAAATGTTAGGAACTTTTGAAAATAACACCTACAGGTCTCAGTGCTTCCTGAGATTCCTAGCCAAGAGCCACTGAATCCTTACCCTGATCTTAGGGCTGATGGCCCCTCAGCCATAATTCCTTTCACCAGTGACTAAAAACCCCACAAGCAGACATGGTGAAAACAGAGCCAGATTCAGATAGAAAGGCAAGAGCTCTCTCCTGACACCTCTGTTCAGGAACAAGTTACACAGCAGACAGGAACACGTCCTTAGGTGCTGCCGTGCACTGCTACAGGAATTTGACAGCTTTTCCACTTGGCCTGGTCAAAAAAATCCCCTTCGCAACCCTGGCATTGCTCCACTAACAGAGCTCTGCCTTTTCCTTGCTCCCAGCTGTGTCCTCTCTTCTGCAATCAATCTCAGACGTCCCAATAGCTCTTGAATGTCCCACCCTTTGTTCCAAGCAGCGAGTACTGGGGGTTGGTTGGGTACTTACCTATGCAGTGAGGGACTCAGGACAAAAACATCAGGACTAAGTTGTACATTCCTGTGCCTGTAGAGCTGAAGGTCAGCTCCAGCTGCTCAGTATTCCCCGGGCTTCCTCCTTTGCCTGGAAATGTGCTGTCACATCAGAGGCAGCAGGAAAAGTACACAACATAAAGCTACAGTCTTGGGAGTCAGATGGCCGTGTTCCCCCTCCCCAGAACGGACCAACATTCACTTTGCACACTCCCTGTCTTCAGCTCACATCTACCCCAGCTAAGGGAACTCACACCCCGGTCTTTCAGAGGAACAGCACCCACAGAGCTGCTCTAAAGAGAACAGGGCTCCCTGCAGAGGGTTCCCAGCAAATCGTGGCAGCCTTTGTGTGCAACTCACTCCCAGGCACCACCAGCCCAATCCCCACCCTCCGCAGAAACAGCTACCAGAGAACTTGCACAGTTGTACCTTCCCTTGGACACAGCCCCTGGCCTGGAGTGAGGACTGGAGCTCAGATCTTGTTACAGGACAAATCCCACTGCAGGGAGGGTTTTCATTCAGCTTTTGAGAACAAAGTTTTAATGGTATATGGGCAACTTCACACCTGCCTGGCAACTCAGGATGTTGATGGATGTGCGCGGCCACTTTTCCTTCCACTCTCCCTCAGTGGATATCCAGCTTTAAAGATGTTCCCTATGCAGGAAAATAAGTTTCTGCACCCTTTCATTACCAAACCAAAAACGAAGAACCAGTTTAGAAATGAAAAGCAGCATCTCTACCACCAAAAGAGGTCTCAGAGGAGTTGTTTGGACACTGCAGGTTAAACAGCCCTAGTCTGGACTTCAGGACTTAAGTTCACAGTTCCCAAACCTTTCTCCATGAAAGCCAACAGAAGTTCAGGCTGGCATAAGGAACTCCTCTGCTCCTTTAAGGGCAGCACAGCGGTGCAGCAGCTTTTCCAAGCTGTGACTGAACAAAGCCCAGAGCAACCTGCCCCGACCCCACAAAGGAGTGCTGCAGTCATCTGGTTTGGCTGGACATGGGTACGTGTGCCTCCCACAGCCCTTCCCACCTCAACCTCCCTGCTTTCAGTAACCCAGTGCAGGGCACTTGTGATGAGCTCTGAGGTTCCCTGGGGTTACACCAAGTTAAAGAAAAGGTTGCACTTGCCTCATGGCACACAAAGCAGCATCCACTTGAGAAAACTGTTGGGTTTTCTTCAATTCTTAAATAAATAGCTACTGTATCCATAACTTTTTTTCCCCGTGACTGAACTCCACCTGCAGGGGCTCGTTGTCAGAGCTGGTGCTCTCCACAGCGGTGGAGTGGACATGTCCTAAAGCAAGATGGACTACAGAAAAAGCTAAAACTAGCCTTGGAATGAAGTCTCTGATTCTGAAACTGTATCAAAGGCCACAGCAAAAGCACCATTTCGTTACCTACACGATATTAACGCAAACTGTTGTCTTTTCTGAGTGAGACAGAGAAAAAATTAGCCCTGTTTAAATTACCCTCATCCTAAAAGGGCATTAAGGCAGCTAAGATCTGCCTTTCAGGATTCAAGGGGCAAGGATTCAAAAGACTGAGGATATAGCCCAGCTCAGCCTATTTTCTTGAATTTTTTCTCAAAAGACAACAGCAAAAGTTTTTGCTGCTGAAAATCTTCAGCACCGAGAAATACACGATTCGCATCAGGTTCTTCACAACTAATAATCGGGTTAGAGATTATTTATAGAAAAATTCTAAGTAAATTAAACTGAATAGATCTTATTTAAAAAAAATAAACAGTTTTGTTCAGTGGTACTTGTACATAGATTAGTTGCTGAAGTATGAAAAAAACCTGCATGCACAAATACCTTTAGAGATGACACCTTACAGGGAATTCAATCTGAGCAGGTCGTTAAACACACCAGGATTTTGTAGAATGTCAGAGCCACTTGTACTTTGCTGCTGTGAGTTCAATCAGCAGTTTGAATAGAGTATTTAGGGTAAGTGCAACAAATATTCTACTGAGAAAGGGCTTTTATAATACAGGATCAATAACTTAGTAAGAATTTTATGTGGAAATGCGTTAAATGTGCAGGGGTGTCATCTCACCTGAAGTCACTGGTAAGGGCTGAATGCCACCTAAAATTGGGCACTAAACATTATGAAATAGTGTAAGTTTTACATAGTCATTACACAGAATTAAATAAATAACCAAATAATAACAAGATAGATAAAGACAGTATTGCAAGTTAGTAAGTTCTGGATCAGGTACCTTACAGAAAACAACTTTAAAAGTAATGTTTGATGATAAAACAGTTAAAAACTCAAACTGTTCTTCCTGTTCGGCAGCCTGTACACAGCAGTGCAAAACAAAGCACTGTTGTAGGTCATCCACTCTTTTCAGGCCTGATGAAAAATAAAAAGGCACAGAATTGTAAATAACCCCAAAGAGTCCAGTGTGAAGCGTGACCACATGCTGTGAGTTCCACTTCACAGTAGCCAGCACCATTGAAATGATTCTCCTTTGACTTGCAAGCCCACATCCCTGTTTGGGGGACAGGATGAAAGACACTGGAAGAAAGGGACTCCAGAAGAAAGGAATCCCACGAGGCACATCCCCAGCCTCATTAAGGTTGTGTGTTCCTGCGTGTAACCACAGCGCCTGACAAACAACCTCCACTCCCGAGTCCTGACCTTTCGTAGGCCCAGCAGAAACCACTCTCAAAGCCATCACTCCCTCTGTAGCTTCATTGGCCGTGCACCAGGACTGTGCTGACCCCGATATTTATTGCTGTGAACAAATTTAAACCACCGAAGTGAAAACAAATCTGTCCTAAAAGCTCATCAGGTCCCTTTCAGAAAGGAATTTGTCTCTCATTTTAAGCAGCGTTAAGAATTGCCAAGAAGTAGGAAATGCTCGAGTAGCCAATTGGAGATGAACTCCAGGTGTACCTGGCAAGGGCGGTCCTTCAGAACTGTTCCTTGGAACAGCTCAGCATGTGGGACCTCCCCAGCCGTGCCTGCAGAGCTCACACTGTAATTACACCTGGAGTCATCACGCAGGGACAAAAAGAGCTCCCCAAAACTGCCCCTCACGCTTTGAAAGGGAATTACAGCCCGTAAATGCAATGGTAGTTTTGCTCCTTGCTCCTCAAGCTGAACCTTCTCAGGAGATTCAATGCCACCCCTCTCCTGACAGGGGTATTCTATCTGGACATCAAATCATCATTAACCCCCCTAAAAATCAAGGTACTTCAGGAACTCTCTCTGCCCATCTTTTATCTGCTTCTCTGAGCACTTCTCCGAAGTTCTGTGGGATACTCACACAAGGAAAAGAGAAGTGAGGAGCCAGACCTGTCAGATCCCTCTGCCAACTGCACAAAACAATTCCTTGTCTGATCTCATTCCAGCTCGGTCAATACCTCAAGCAAAAATAGATAAAACTTGGCACTTCACAGGAAACTACTGTCCTTTCATTGTCACTCTTCAATAGGATATTTTCCAAGTGGATAAATTTCCAACCTGCAGCCTCGGCCTAACTGGAAAGGGCAGGGCTTTCTTAGCTTTCCTTGTGAATAGCTTGTGGCCCTGCAACAGAGATGCTGAACCGTCAGCAAGTTCAGCCCCTAAAGGCTAAGCAAAAATGTTTCAAGTCGCTGTTTTCTCTCCTACTTGATAGGAGCCACAAAAAGGGGCTCAGGCCGTTCAGGCACATGGAAAATGCTGCTGTCACCAGAGAAGGCAGGCTGAGATCACAGACACGAGCTGGTGATGACCAAGGACAACAAGCAAGCAGCTACGGAGATGCATTCCCCTGGACTATCGCCCGTTTCTCTCTACAAAGGCTCTGGAGGTCGGTGCCCTCAAATCGAGTATTTGCAATTGTACCCAATCTCAGCTCAGAGTCCTCCACTCCTCTCCCGGCACCTGCCCTCCATGGATCCCCCCAGGCTGGGCAGGAAAGGTGGGAGGAAGCAATTTGCCCCTCTTTTGGTGAACAATTGACTGAACAACTCAGCTAAGCACAGGAGATGGTCCCACAGAGAGACATTAGCATTCTGACTGCTCAGTTACCAGAGCCAGAGCAAAGGTGTTTTAAATGAGCCCCTGCCTCACCCTCTGAGGGAGACCTTAATTGCTGTGATTTTCCCTTCCCTCCCATCTCAAAGGAGAACATGAAAGCTCCTACCCAGCCCTGCGTATACCAAGTACCACGCTCCGCAGGAGATTGCTATCAGAAGAACATTCTGGATTTTATCTGCTAACAAATACAGCAGGACAGTTTGTGCTATTTATAAGCTCTTGGGACTCAATTTTCCCTTTATTTAAGTTCTGGTGACCAATATCAGTGACGGTGTAATCTATCCTGTAAAGTCAGGCTGTCCCATGTCCTGGTGTGTTTCTCTAGAACAAACCTCCTTTGAACTGCTGGGATAAAGAGCAACACAACGACCTGTGGGACCACGGTGTCTTCCGATGAGGAGCCACAGCCAGGAAAGCTCTTTGAGATACAGCAGTGAGGAGTCCTCATTATTGCAAACAGTAATATGAGAGCAGGCAAATTAAAAATGCAGCCACACCTCTCTCTGTGTAAACCAAAGACAGCAAATGTAATAACAGTGACTTCGTTTTTAAGTATTGTCAATTCTCTTAAAAAAAAAAAAAAAAAACCCAAGAAAACATTGTCCCTTCATTTTAGTTGTTTAGGTGTATTTTCTAGGGCAAAATACGTATAAGAAATGGGAGAAAAGTCATCCAGAAAAGGAAACGGCTCTTACGGTAACTTTTGGAAGAGAAGGCAGAGAATACATCCATTTTAATCAGAAAATTACCTAAAGAAAGACATGCAAATTGAAAATTCGTTTCAGTTAGGCTTCCAGAAATGGATGTAAAATCAGTGCAATTCCCAGAGAGAAGAGAGAGAACTCTAACTCTAGGCGTTACTGCAGCAAGACGCAGGACGGTAAGGGAAATAATCTAATTCGTCTCCCAAAGTAATTTACATTTGTATTCAACCAGCCATGCTATGCAGCAGAAAAAGGGTTACTAGGAAGCAAGGAGGTAAAAAGCAAAGGAATTAAGCTCTCTAAATCATCCCCAGGGAACCCGCAATAACGTGGCATTTCCTCAGTGATACAAAAGTAAATTAGAGCAAGAGAGAATCATCCCCAACGTACCTAGAGATGTTGCTGCTGTTTAGATGAGATCAGTAAGTAAAACACTGTTCTTCCTTAAAATACCTCTTTTGGAGATCAGCAGGCTCCTTTGTGATCAGGGAAGATGAGCTCCAGCTGGAGCAGATGTTACGAGTTTGATGAAGTTATCAGAGTGCCCCAGAAATGGGACTGAATGAAGAGATCCAATTTTTTAGTCAGAAGATGGGGCTGCAACAGGGAGTGGCTACTCTGTACAAGTTATTGGGAAAGAAGGGTAAATACCAGAAAGAGAGAGAAAAAAAAAACCTTACATGATTTAAGCTAAGCCAGAAACATAAAGAGGTTGAACTGGACAAGGACAACACAGGCTAGGCATCATAAATTTTCCTGTTAAAATTTTTGAAACAGATCATAGCTGAAGTTTTCAAAACACTTGATTTTTTTTTTCTTTGAGAAAGAATTCAAAACTGCTGAAGATCGGTCAGAAAGGAGCAATCTCCTGGGATGCTCGGCAGGACGATCTGACACAAGCCGCCAGTACCAAGGGTAAAATTCAAGGATTAATGGCCCCAACATACCGAAGTCTGCCCCCCCCAGCTGCAAACAGCAAAGGGATTTACTGACCAAAACCAGTACCCCGAGGGACAACTGTAGAGTTGTGAGGCAGCAGTCAATACCAGGAGCAGAATTTTCATCTGCTCTGCTTGTGACCCCCATTATTGTCATGCTGGTGGGTGTGTTCTGCAGTCACACTTCAGGGGACTTCCGTGGCAAATAGGCATTAAGAGCACCCGATAATCCCTCTGTACTTTACCTACAGACCAAGCCCTTCCTTGCAGCCCGGCCTCATGAGGCTGCAGAGGTCACTAGAACAGTCAATCGAATGTGGACTCACCGCAGGTAGCAAATTAAAATGTGGCTAAACATTCACCAGTAGGAACTAGTTAAAATTACTCAAAAAACTTCCCTCGCTTGTTTGTCATTGTTGTAAGAGACCTGACAGACCCGAGTGCGTGTTCTCTGTGTATCCCATGGATGTTAATAAATTCCGTTTAAGTGCTTCGGGAAACGAGCCAGTGCTACAATATGCCATCTGCAAAATTCTCATCTTCTTAATTTCTAATGCGCATAGCTACATGTTTAAGGTAGCAACTAGAATGTGTCTGAGCCTAATTTTTCCTTTTCCACGTGATGATCTTTCATCCTTTTCACTTTTACAAATTTTTAGAGAGGGTTTAACAGAGCACTTGATAGGGCCGGGTTTTGTTTTCCGGGGGTAACATTTACAGAGGAATTTGGACGCGAAGCAGCTGCTGCCTGCAGACGATCCCATCCGCATTAGGGGTCAGTGCCTTCCCTCCCGACGCCCTCACCCACCCGCGGGGCTCGGGCCCTCCGCCTTTACCTTCTCCGGGAGCAGCAGCTCTGCGGCTCTTCCTCACAGGAATCTTTGTGCTGACACCATCCAGAACATCCAGCCCCAGAGTTTTTTCCTATCCATCATCTTTGCTTTAAAACATCCACGAAGAATTAAACTAGTTTAGTCTTCCCCTGGTTAGGAATGCACTTCCCCGTTCATCGCAGTGCCAGTCTCGGGAGCGTTCTGTGCAGCCCTTTCCTCCAGGGAACACGATCCGCGGCCAAACACCGAAACCAGGCGGCACAGCTGCCTCTGCCACGCTCTCCCTAAATCCCGAGCGCCCCTCCTCGGGATGCGGTGCCTCACCCGGGCACCACCGGTCCACTTCAGACCCGTTCTGCCCCACTATCCGAGGCTGTGCCTCCGGACAGAGCTGTGCCGGCGATGCTCCCTGCTTGCTCCCGCTTTCCCGACAGCCCGGCCGCAGGAGTTGTGCCTGCCGGGATTTACAGCGCCAGTCACCAAGTGCCACCGGCCGGAGCCCCCTGCCCTGACAGGGGATGTTGGCACCTCAGCTGCGGCGGCAGCTCGGGCCGCTCTGCTGGAAACAGCTCTGCGAGCACCGAGGGGCTCCTGCCGGGACGAGACAGAGTCCCGGTGAAAGCAAGTACCTCCAGGGGCACCGGAGGGCTCCAGCTAAGATTCCCGAGACAAAAGCCTCCCTCCCCTCTCCCCCAGAAGCAGGGCTCTTGCCCTGTCTCACATTACACTTGCTCGAAGCGCTGCGGAGCGGGCACAGGAGGCAGCGGTGCAGAGCCCCCGGCCACGCTTTAGCCCTGCCCTGTACGTTTTCCACGGCACTTGCACAGCTTGATTTCATCAGCTTGATTTCAGGGATGACACTACGGCAGAAAAATCAGGTTCAGTATTAGTAAGCAGTTAATCCTCACTGTCATCTGTTTAGTCAAATTATACGTGGCTGCCTTATATCAGAGGAGATACTTGACAAGTATAACCTTTTCTCTGTTTATAAATACTCTCAAGCTGCTTTTGGAAACCCTTCCCCAAGATTTTACTACTTGTAACATGAATGTTCTAACGGTTACATTAACATTTTAAACGGATAGTACTTTGGTAAAACAAGGCGTCAGGAGACAAGCTGAAAAGGCAAGTCTTTCGTGGGAGAGGCAGAGTAACCCTCGTGACACGGGCAGGAGTCTTCCCAGAGGGTTGAAGAGAACCTCCAAAATTCTGGTTTCTTACTAGAGCCAAGCTGAAAGCTTCCAGGGAAAGTTGCCTGCTCTCCTTTGTCCTCTCAAACACGCAGTGGATGTTTCACAGTCAGGTTGGTCTGCAAGACAGGTGTTCTTTGAGAGCAGCATCGCAAGGTACTCCCACCTCCAGCTGCTCAGTTCTGCAGCACTACACGTGGCAGCAATTTCTGCTTTTCCAGATGCTGAGCTGCTGGCTGCCATCCAGCCCTGCTAAAAAGGGACCAAAAAGGAAGGCTGCTGTTCTCCAGCTGTTCCTGTCCCTTCCATGACAAAACAGGAATGGAAGTGGATGATTTTGCATCAGGAAAATCAGAAAAATTAAGAAGTACAGGGAAAAAACCCCATCAGACACTTAAACAAATCCTTCTGTATATCATTAAAAGGCTGCAAGCAAATAATAAAGCAAATTAGTGCTTGAAAAATGTCTGCTGAAAAGCAGAGTGCGGGGAGTCAGGCTGGAATTCTTTGCAGTTTTTGCTCCTTTCCCCTTTGCCCCTCTCCCCAACCGTTTGTTCCTAATGAAATGTGAACAATGACTCAGTCAACAGGATCTTTCACCAGTGCCTCTCACAAGACTGAGAGGAAAACAATCAATTTTACTGTAAAAACATCTTTGGGAATCTGTCACCTTGCTCAAGCCATTTCTCCCAATATTCAGAACGCCCTCCCAGGGCTATCATTGCATCCTTGTCCCAAAAGATCACTACAACACTCCAGTACCTGGTAAGGTGAAAGACGGGAATGCATGAGACAAGGGACTTAGAAGCACCACACAGATCACATCACTTGCCCCCAAAAAGAAACGATCAGACCTCCCTCCACTGGGACATGGCTGGCCAAAATCTGACCAAAACAACAACAAAATAAAATCAAACTGAAGGATGCAACAAACAAATCTACTCAGCCCCACTGTGTGGCTGTCGTTTTAGAGGAGGATGACGAGAGCTGAACTGATACTTGGCTACATCCTCCAGCTTGCAGGATCACTGAGTCACCCCTGCACAGGAACAGGTTCTTACATGCACTGCAGGGCACTTGCCTGAATCCTCACACAGCTCAGAACTCACCCGTTAGAGACAGCAACTTTAAACCAGCAGGATACAAGGAATCAAAAGCAGCACAAGACTGCAGTGTCTTGTTTTCAATACAAATTCAGGCACCAAACACCTAGAAATTCAAAAGCAACTTTCCTAAACACAGTTACAACACTACAAAACACACGATGTCAGGTGGTATTGGGTGTGTTCCAAAACTCTAAGCTTATACTCTGTCTTGTGATGCTGTAGATTATATAGTGGATGAATAAATAAGGGGGAAGTTGGTTTTACTTGAAAGCAATGCCTTTTGTTACTACAGCTTTTTACTGGAACTACTTTTGTGCAATACATCAATGAAACCCAGAATGCAGAAACGTAACAGTTCGGTGGGAAAACACCGGAAGTTTTCAGAGCTGAGTAGAAGTATTCCTTATTTATGCCATTTTTCTTGTCACACTACACAACAATACACAAACCGCAGATGAATTTCTACTTGACCCATTTCTGCTTTCTGGAAACAATCAGCATTAAGGACTGTGCTACCTACACATTTTGAAATCTACTGCTGGCTGGAGGACTCAGTCACTCAAAATTAATCATTTTATCTTTTATATGTTTAAATATAAACTGAACAAATGCATTCAGTGTAAGAACCTCACCTGGGTGCACAAAAATTACAGAGAAGCAAGAGAAAAATCAGAGTTTGAGCACATTTCTGGTAAAACTGTCAGTGGAAGTTAACTGTGTTACCTAAGTCCAAATAGGTATTCATACAGCACATTACTCAGCAGAAAGATGGACTGGAAACAATTCCACTCTCTCAAAGCATTAAACACTGAAAAACCAGTTATGTTAAAGGACTAGGCTTTATAATGTTAGACACAAATGTTAGACACAAATGTTAGAAACAATTTTAAGAGCTGGGTCTGTGGAAACCCACAGACAGCAGACAGAAAATTCCAACTTCTCCTTTGTTGATTTCAGGGCACCCCAGGCTGAGCCAGAGGACAAAGCAAGAGCTGGGAAGTCACTGCAATCCAGAGGTCCCTGAGCAGCACAGCCCAGGCACCAGGCACTGGGTAAGTCACAAAACTCTGGGTGTGTTCAGCATGGCAGGACCTGCAGCAGTGCTGGCAGCAACTCCGCTTCCCGTGTGCAATCCTCACCCCCACAGAAACCTGGCAGAAATTCCCTGTTGGTCCACTGCTCCATTGCTCTGCAGCAGCGGAACTACAGACTTGTGCCTTTTCACTGCCCCAGCAACAGCAAAGGGGCTCAGAGAGCCTCTTTTATTCCAGGTCAGTTGACATGCACATGCATCACCAGAGCCTTCCTCCCAGCCTCATCCACAGACACCCACTGGGCTGGGAAGCACTCTGTAATTCAGCTCGTTCATTTGCCCTTATTAAAGAGAGAAGGGAGGGAAATAACCTGTAACCAGAGATCAGGCTCATTTACAGGCCTGCTGTAGCAGGGTTTTCTCTACAGAACAAGGCAGGCCAGATTTCCTCCTTTCTGCAGGGCATCTGTGAGGGTTTCAGAAGTCCAAACAAATGGGATGCTGAGGCAGAGTAAGACCCAGCTTAGGCTCACTCTTACCAGCCTTTTGCCAGCCACTCATATATAACAAAAGACCACAAGGTGGGAAGTGTGGACATGAAATGCAAAAGCTTTTTAAGTCAAAGCTGACAAAAGATTGCTTCTCCAAACCTCCCTTAATGACACTCTACTCCATTTTCTTAAGACTTAAGTTCCATTTCTGGGAATATGAGCAGGAAGCTGTAGCTGATGCACAGCATCTGTGTGGGTCACCCACAGAACCTTGTGCTGTCTGGTCC